TAGCTTTTCACAGGTGAAATCTCCATTGCAATGTTTAAAAACTCCACAGTCAAAAAATAGAACTGATCAGAAAAACATTAACCTAGGTCTGTATGAGCTCAAAAAACAAAATAGAACTTCATGATGTGGGAAAGGGCAATAATAAAATAGATATTCAAAAAAGCATCCTGGTTTCATTAGCCTCCAGGTGTGGGAGAACCACTGTTGCAGGTGTAAGGATAGCCAAACTGGAGTTCTGGATATCAGCTGTTATGGATTTGAGCCAAATCATCTTCTTTTTGGTCTGTAGAAATCGCTTTAGTTAATCTCTCTGGAATCCAAATTGGCTGCTGTTCTCCCTGTGGAAACACACAAACAGACCCCCGACTCCAGACAATCACTGGGTCAGGACCTTTCCATTGTCCTGTTAGAATATCCACCCAAAGTACTTTGGGCTTATGTACATTTTTTGGACACATAAGCCTTTCCACAGCACTAAGCTCTGATGAATCCAAAGTTTAGAGTAAAAAGGGTTATTTTAAGTTATTTTAAGTTTATCGTTGGGGGATATATACCCCTTTCCAATTCCCTCTTTTTGCTTTAATAACTACATTTTAATAGTTTGATGAGCTCTTCCAACTATAGCTTGTCCCTGAGGATTGTATGGGATTCCTGTTATATGAGTAATGCCAAATGATGAGCAAAATTGTTTAAAAGAGGTAGAAGTATAGCCAGAGCCATTATCTGTTTTTAACGGTTTTGGAATGCCCACAGTGGCAAAATTTTGTAAGCAATGAGCTATAATATCTTTGGTTTTTTCTCCAGCATGAAGGGAGCCCATCAAAAATCCGGAAGAACTATCAACTGTAACATACAAATATTTTCATTTCCCAAATTCTGGAAAGTGTGTGACGTCCCTCTGCCAAATATGGTTAGGTATCAGTCCTCTAGGATTGACTCCAAGATTAACTTGTGGTAAAAAGGTCACACAATTTTGACATTGTTTTATTATTTGTCTAGCTTATTCCTTAGTTATTTTAAAACGCTTTTGTAAAGTATTAGCATTGACATGGAACCTTTTATGAAAATTTGTGGCTTCTTCCAGTGTAGAGAAAATATGTATGTCATGTGCAGTTTTATCTGCTAAATCATTGCCCAAACTAAGGGCTCCAGGCAATCCTGTATGTGCCCTGATATGTCCTATGAAGAATGGATCTTTTCTGTCCCAGATTAGACTTTGTATAGTGGAAAGCAAAGAGAAAACAGTAGAGGAAGGGGAAATCCTACCAGCATCTTCAAGGGATACTATAGCATTAACTATATACTGACTATCGGAAAATAAATTAAATACAGAATCTTTAAACATCACAAAAGCTTGTAATACTGCAATAAGCTCTACCTTTTGAGCTGATTGTTTGGGTACTAAAAATGCAAAAGTTTGATCAGGGGTAACTACTGCTGCTGTACCATTATTTGACCCATCAGTGAATATATTTGGAGCATTCATGATAGGGGTTTTTCTTGTCATTTTTGGAAAAACTACAGGATGAGAAGACCAAAAAGACAACAAAGGGTTAGATGGTAAGTGGTTATCAAATGAAATATTAGATTTGCACATGATTATTGCCCAAGTATTTACCTCATTAGCTAACTCATCAATTTGATCCATAGTATATGGAGTCATAATTTTATTGGAAGAAATTCCAAACACTCCCTTTGCTGCTTTTATTCCTTTGAGTATCAGCTGTCCTACAGCCTCAGGATACCTAGTAAGAACAGTGTTAGGAGAATAAGATAAATGCGTACACAATAATGGACCTTCTTGCCAAAATACTCCTGTAGGAATATTTTTTGTTGGTAGTACAATAAATAATAAAGGCAAACTTATGTCAATTCTATCCAAATGCATATTTTCCATATATGTTTCAATGATTTTTAATGCCTTTCTTGCTTCAGGCGTTAATATGCAGGGTGAATTTGGATCTGATGGACCTTTTAGGATATCAAATAAAGGTCCTAACTCTCATGTTGGTATGCCTAGATAAGGCCTTATCTGATTTATGTCTCCTAATAACTTTTGAAAGTCGTTAAGTGATTTGAGTTGATCTACTCGTATTTGAATTTTTGGTGGACGGACCATGGTTGAGGATAATAGAACTCCTAAATAATTAATTGGAAAATTTAATTGTACTTTATCTATTGCTATCTCTAGATTATAATTTTTTAATAAATTTGTAAGTGTGGCATAACATTCTAGCAATGTATTTTTATCTTTGTGTCCTAATAATACATCGTCCATATAGTGAAATATTTGTAGTTCAGGATTTTGATTTCTAAGTGGCTGGATTGCTTTGTTAACATAAATTTGACACATAGTTGGGCTGTTAGCCATCCCTTGAGGGAGTACTTTCCATTCATATCTCTGATCAGGACCTTCATGATTCAGTGCAGGGATAGTAAATGCAAAACGTGGACTATCCTCAGGATGAATTGGAATTGAAAAAAACACAATCTTTAATATCTATAACTAAAACATTCCAGGTTTTTGGCAAAGCAGACAATTGAGGAATCCCCGATTGAGCAGGTCCCATAATAACCATCTCGTTATTAATAGCTCTTAAATCTTGCAATAATCTCCATTTACCAGATTTCTTTTTGATGACAAAAATGGGAGTATTATGGGGAGATACGGAAAGTTGTATATGACCCTCCGCTAACTGTTGTTTGACCAGGTCATGGGCTGCTTGTATCTTTTCTTTAGTCAGGGGCCACTGAGGAACCCATACTGGCCTTTCTGATTTCCAAGTAATTTTTATTGTCTCAGTGACCTCTCCTGAAAACCCAATCCATGTCTATCTATTTCTTGATCTATTTGTATTGGTGCTGCTATACCTTGTTCTTGTTCTCCTAATCCTTTTCCCTTCCTAAAACCTTGTCTAGCCATAATAGTGGGCGCATTTGGATTGATGTTATTTGTTAATGTCAAACCTAATTGATCTAGGACATTTTGTTCCCATAAATTTACGGGAAGATGATCCAATACATATGGCTGTATAGTTCCTTCACATCCTTCAGGATCCTCCCAATCTAATACCATTGCACTTCTATGGGGATTAGTCGCCACTCCTAGGCCTCGAAGCGTTTGAGTGGCTTGTTGTAATGGCCAATGTTTTGGCCATTTTTGACGAGAGATGATGCTAAGGTCTGCACCTGTATCCAGTAGTCCATTAAATTCGTGTCCTTGAATATTTAGTTTTAGCATTGGGCAAGAATCTAAATTTAAAGAAAGCATAGCCCAATCTACACCTGTGGAGCCTAATCCCCTGGAACCTCTTTCTATAATACGGCTAGAAAATTTATCATGCAGGATGGGTATTATTAATAACTGTGCTATTCTATCTCCTGGTGAAATTACTGATACACCCCTTGGAGAACTGGCTATAATTTTGTTTTCACCTTCATAATCGGGATCAATTATCCCAGGACTTATCATAAGTCCTTTGAGAGTAGAAGAACTGAGTCCTAATAATAAGCCTACTGTTCCTTGGGGAAGAGGTCCTTTTACTCCTGTGGGAATGATCTTAACTCCCATTTCTGGAGTTAGTACTGCTCTGGCGGAGGCGCAGATGTCCAACCCTGTGCTCCCTCTGGCTCGTCTGATGAGGGATCTAATGGATAATGTGTCCTGGGCACTACCCTGATGGTGTTGCTGGGTTCCTCCATTGCCCCGTATATTTGTGGTTGTAGGCCCCGGAGCATTGGGCCCCCCTGTCCGTTTTTTGGCAATGGAGCCCGATGGTTTTCTCCATGATATCGTGGATAAACACCTGGTCCTTGTCCGTTTTTTGATAATGGAGCACCCTCTATGGTGGTTTGAGAACGGCATTCATTAGCCCAACGTCTCCCTCTATGGCATCGTGGGCAAATACCCGGTATTTTACCCCTTTGATCATATCCAGTTTTGTTAAACCCTCCTCCTATGGGGCAACTCCTTCTAAAATCTAAAATGTCTTCTCTTTGACTAAGCAAATAAGATTGTACCAATGTCCGTAACGGTAATGTGCCAACTGGCAGAGTTCCTGGGCTTTCCTTTTCTATCCTTTTTAAATCTTCACCATGATGGTTCCATTGTGATATATTTAATAACCCCTCTTTATTGAACCATGGGCTACACCTTTGTATCGTCTTAACGTATGCCCTAACTGTTCTTGATTTTACTGAGATGCCTCCTTCCTCTAGCAATTTACTTAACACCCTTTCGGTTTGGTTTTTACTAATTTTTAATTCCATATTTCTGCTATAAAAATAACGCAACCCAACAAGATAACACAAAACCAAACCAAAGCAAAACAAAACAAAAACGGAACAAAAAATCGTTGTATCAGTTTTTCTATTTTCTTGACATGTGTATTTGTGGTCTATCTCTATCTCTTCCTCAGGGACAGGAAGCTTGAAACAAAAACAAAACAAATCAAAACAAGAACACATTGTTTTTTGAAATGGTCACCCATTCTCTGGCCCTGCCCTCAGGGGTGAGCAATTTCACTTACCCCCAAGCCTCAGGCGTCCACCAAATGCTGCAGTCTGGCTGGGCACAAAATAATGGAGGCGTCACGAGGCACTTGTAGGTTCAAACAGGATCTCCTTTATTGCCCAAACTCCCCCGCACGCCACCCACATGGCCCTTCCAGGAACACCACACACCAACTCCCTCCCCTGGAACTTCCTCCGCCCTCCACCGGGCTCTGTAAGAACTCAATGGGGAACTCCGGAACTCCTAGAGAACTCAATGGGAATTCAAAGGGAACTGCCAGAGAACTCAATGGGAACTCAAAGGGCCCATATACAACTGAATACACAGCCTGTTTCAATCCAGCATCGTCCACAGCTTAACTTAATTATCATCATCTTAATGGCTCGCTGGCATCACCTCTCAACCACTCCTTCTGGTAAAATGCCAGGCGCCATTCCGACTCGGCTGTGGCTCTCAACAACTAATGTCTCCAAACAAAAGACAAAAATATGTGGTGAGTGCTTTATTACTCATGGTTTACAAGCTATATTATATATAAAAAAATCATTTTTAAAACAACCAGGTTTGCTGGGAAGTGTCCTTTTCCCCTTTGCACCATGAACTTTGGCACCATGAACACCTGAGTCCTTTGTATTAAACATACCCTTTGTGTAGGTCCTGGGCAAACCTTGAGGACTTCTGAGGTCTCGGCTCACCCCCCAATCCCCATCATCAATGTTAGAAACTTGGGGAAATGCACACGCACTGTTTCACTTTCTGAGCCCTTCTCCCCACTGGGCATGTCCAAAGAGGTGGTGGCCTGGTCATGAGTTAAGAAGCTCCCCCAAGGTCCTCATTGACGATTCGTAGAGAAATCTGAAACACAAAGACTGACTCAGCTACAGAGAAAAAAAGGCCAGATTATCCAAACGTACGTTTCCAAAGGAACACAACCAGGGCGCACCTGAGGGTGCAGCAGGGCCATCGAAAGTGCAGGTCGGGAGTCCCGCCTGGGCAGCCCCACACAGCGAGCCCTGGCAACGGTGCCTGTGTGCACCCACTCAGGTCGGCCCTCAGAAGCTTCCTCAGGACCTCCTCTCAGCCGCACCTCAGATCCACGGCACAGGGAGAAGCACACGAGGTCGTTCTGGCCCATTCTCCCCTGCTGCACAGAGGAGGCTCCGGCCCTGCTCTGCAGCGGGACAGTCCCAGCCAGCTCGGATGCCTCGAGGCCTCGGGGCACCTGGCCCTGCCTGTCCAGCCAGGGGGCGAGAAGTCACTGCGCTTCCTTCCAGGCTGTGCTCCCACTCCCAAGGGCCTGTTCCCATCAAGACTCCTGCCTGAGGCTGGCACCTGGCCTCTGCTCCTACAACTGAGCGCACCCCTGCGAGCAGGAGGCTCAGCCCTAGGGCTTCACCAGCTGGCATCTCCTGGACAGCTCCACTGGGCAGAGCAGCTACACTGAACCTCCTGAGTCTGCAGACGCTGTTTCTTGGTCTTGTGCCCACCGCTGAGATGATGCCCTTCTGCCTGATGCAGCCTTGCAGACTGTCCAGCCATCTGACCAGGTGAAGCACAACGGCTACTTTGAATGTTCTCGAGGTCGTGCTACAAGCCAGGCGAGCTCTACTCTGAAGTGCTGGGCTCAGTCAGCGCACCCAGGTCACACCACCTTGCAGTCAGCACAAGGCCGCTGTGCACACACCTGCACCCGCACCTCAAGACAGATCCAGAGAGCTCTCTGCAGAGTCTGCCGGGAGCTCAGTAAGTCTGTCCAGTCACTCAGAGGTACATGTGCTTTCTATACGGACCCACACAGATTTAAGGGAAGAAAACAGACTTGTCCAGGTCCTCTGTCCCTCAAGACCCCCTCCCTCGGCACTGGGTCTTGTGTGCCAGGCAGCACCGAGACAACTGACCTGGACCTCATGGAGAGGGCCTCTGCAGTATGATGCGGCAGCAGCTCTGGCTGAGCTCCTGGGGCTGCTGTGGGCCTTTGGCTGGCCCACCACCAAATGAGGTGCCCCAAGTGGGGCCAGAAACGATGAGCACGGGGCCCAAGGATGCCACACAAACAGGGCTGGGGGCACCTCACAGGACCAACCGCTGCCCTAGGCGGTCTTGCTTCCTCCGGGTCTCCTGCCAAGCCCTGGGCCTGGGGAGAACAGTGCTCAGCTCTGCCCCTCCTGCCAATCCGGAGCTGGAGGTGAGACAGGAGAAGGGGCAGAGTCACAGCCACCAGCACCTAGACCCCAACCCTTAAAACTCTGCCGTCTCCTCAGGGAGCACGAGCGCGTGAACCCCGAAGACAGACACGAGGCCGTCTTGGCAGACTGCCTACGCAGCTCAGCACTGCTCCACTGGCCCACACCCACGCCAGCCACAAGGCTGGCACACTGCCTGGCCACTCAGGATGGGCAGGGCTCAGTGGACAGGGTCCTGGGACCAAACTGGATGCCAGGCGGATGCTGGGAGCCCCACAGCAGGCCACCCCTTTGCTCTGCTGCTGCTTGAGGGCTGGGTCAGTGCACGGTGAGGACCCAAGAAGCAATGACAACTGCGGAACAAGAGGAAGAGAACTTGGGGCTTTACAGCTAAAGGGACAGCAGCAGAACCTTAGGCCACCAAGCCTAGTGGGCTGTGGATCTCCTTGTGCATAAGATGTGAGAACCGGGGGGTGAGTTCCCTGGGCTCTGAGCCTGTGAAGTGCAGGACCCAGGCTCAGCATCTGTGAAGTGGCCAAGGCAGCACCCTGTGGTCACCAAGGACCCATGCACTGAGCAAAGAGCAGGATGAAGGACATCACCATCCCTCAAGAGGGGCTTGTGTGTAAGCGACAGGGGTGTGCTCTAAGGAAGCCACAGAAACGCCCTGCCCATGAGCACGTGGAGGAGTGCTGAGACCAGAAAGCATGACGGCCGCTCTCCTCCAGCCCTGCTCAGCCACTGCACCCCAGGCCACCCTCACCGCCCGCAGAGCAGACCAACGTGGCACCCGCTGTGGCAGCAGCACGACCACAGCGCATGTCCTCAGTGGGAAGACTTGGGAGGTAACCCAACCTTCAGAAAGGCTCACACGTCTGTAACCTCAAAGTAAAAGGTGTTGTCTTCACACTAGTGATGGTTAAAATAGCTCCTTGCACACACAAGTTCTTCCCCCTGAGGAAACGCATCCAACTTAGCTCTGCGCTGGGCGAGGCAGTGAAGGCACAGTAAGAAGCCGTTTTTATTGAGCACCCCAACCAGCCAACCAACACCAACCCCGCTGGGGGGAAAGCTGATTGCTCACTTCTGAATCGAGGCCCACTGTATAGACACCCCAGGGAACAAGGGTTCCTGGAGCCTTGGAGATGGTAGCTGGCCAAGGTTCTCAGGTCCAACACTAAACCAGGTCATTCAGAAACACACTCTGAATGTGACATCTCAACTGCTTCCTCCTGATGGATGAATGCTTTGCTTCAACCATTTTTCAGACTGATTTTCTTCAGCGCTGGCTCTGCTGGGTTGCTGCTGGCACAGGGGTGGGCCCAGCAATGCAGACCACTGAGAGGACTGCCCAGAGTGCGAGGCTTGGCGGGGAACAGCGCACCGCACCACATGGCAGCACACAGGATCTCCACAGCCAGTTCTGCTCTCAGAGCTTCTAGCTCCCCAGGCCCTGCTCAGGGCAGGAGTTAGGAGACACTGGTGAAGGGGCAGTGAGGCTTTGCAGCAGGAGCCCAAGTCCACTTCCCCTCAGCAGTAAAAACATGTGACACCCAAAACGGTGTCCTCACTAATGGCATTTTAAAATAAAGATGAGTTAAAACTCCTAGAGCTGTCATTGTGGTCGCCCTGGTGAGTTGTGTGTCTGATACACACTTTTTATGCTGCACGTGTTTTCTGATGCACAAAAGCTCCAGCCATCTCAAAATAAGGTCATCATCTTCGAGAGTTCATGCTCAGAATCAGAGCACTCTGCAGAGGGCAGAAGGTGCTGCTGTTAATCACCCCACAGGCGTGTGCTCAGGCTGCACCCGCCCTGGGTGACTCCATGGTGTGCAGAACAGAGGCTCTCAGCTGCGCCTGACCCTTAGTGATCCCATGATTCACAGAACAGCAGTTCTCAGACGGCATCTGCCCTGAGTGATCCCATTTTTTAAAGCTGTTGTTTGCCTTGAACTACTCCATTCTGAGTACCAGGGCCAAGAGTAATGACTCCATACCTGGTTTGTACAGTAAACAAGCAACACCTGCCCAGCACCACCATGAGGCATGACTTAATCAATAACTTTCATGTGCTGACTTATGAAACTGAATCCCGAGTACCTGGACATGTGGCCGACCCAGATCCTATCAGGAACAACAGACACGGGACCCAGCCAACCCAACCTCAGCAGATGCAGCTGCCTTACCTTAGGCCCATAAAAGGAAAAGCCTGCAAGACTGTCCACAGTGGCACCCTGACCTGTCACCTGGGACTAGTCATGAGTCTTGCCCAGGAAAATGGCCACAGGCATGAATCTCCCATGTCCGGTCCCACTGGGCTTCAGCAGAGAGCAGTTTTTCCTGCCCTTGGAGGTTATGCATGGCCCACTCAAGCTAACACTGCCCTCCGTGGGGACCCTCTGCCTTGACGACTCTGCAGAACCGCTTGGCTAAGACCCTCACCTGACTACCCACGGTGGCTCTGGGACTCTGCCTTCAAGCCTCTGCCTGTGCTCCTGGCTCAGCATCCTGCCATCTTTTCCTCTCTTCCTTAGTCTATATATGCCATCGTGTGAAGTCTCCTTTGTGACTTGAGAGTTAGAGATGTTAGAAGTGAAGGCTGTGACCGTCAGCCAAGCATTCGGTGACCTGCCACTGCTCGGTGGGGCAGCCTGTGACGTGATGGTTCCCAGTGAATCCCGACATTGTGGAAAGACAGACACGTTGGGGGTGTTGATGGCATGACCACAGCATGACGGTGTGTGTTCATCACACTGTCCACAGAAACCATGAAAACTGAGGAGTAAAGAGGACACATACTGAAAAGAAAAAAGCAGAAAGCCAGCAGAACGTCTGAAGGCATGGGACAAGCAGTGAAGGCCCGACACATGCACAACAGGAGCTCCAAAAGGAGAAGCAGATGGAAAGGACAGCGTGAAGCGATGGCACCCAGAGTCCCACATCAGCGTCAGACATGAGGCGCAGCCCAGGGAGCCAGAGGCCACTGCACAGGACAAGCACTTAACATCACATGGGGCAGACCATGTTCCACGTCCAAAAAGCCAGAGAAAATCCCGAAAGACAGGGAAATACCTCCTGTACTGAGAAGCACAGCTCAGAACTTCACCTGATAAGCACAGTCAGAGGAGGAAGCGCTCACTTCAGAGGTCTCAGTTCAGAGCGCCACCCCGTTTCTAGGGCTGAGCTGAGGCAGCACAGCACGGTGGGTGTGCTGGAGGAAAGAAGCCGGAGGAAGCAGAGGGGGGCTCCGCCCAACCAAGACACAACAAATACCAAAGGCACAGACCACCTCCTCCAGCACCCCCCGCCTGTCCAGTCACCACCCAATCAATCCCTGTCAGGGGACTGATGCCCGATGAGGTCAGACTCACAGCCCACTCATGCCATCACTCCTCTCAGCCCCAGGAAGGCAGCCAGCTGCCTATGGACTGAGACCTCTGAAGCTGTGAGCCCCCAGAAAAAACCCTCCTCCTCTAATTGTCAGGTCTTTTGGTCACAGCATTGAAACACAGTCTGATTTCAAAATGGGCTAAAGATCTCAACAGACACTTTATCAAAGAAGTGATTCAGAGGGCAAATAAGTGAATGAAAAGAAGTACCACACCATGAGTTCAGGGAAATACACATTAAAACAAGACACCACTTCACACCTAATAAAATGTCCCCAATCTGGAGTGCTGGCCACACCAAATGGCAGCAAGGACGTGGAGCGGCAGGAACTGTCTTCCATGGTGGAGGAGATGCAAAGTGACAGTCATGCTGGAGGACACGTGAACCACTGCTTATGGAACTGACCACACTCTGTGACCCAGCAACAGTCTCCCTTGGTTTGTACCCACAGGAGTAAAAAACTTACAGTCACACAAAACCTGCGTACAGCTGTGTTTGTGATTCCCACACCTAGAAGTAGCCCAGCTGTCTCAGCAGGCATGGAGGACAGCCCCCTGTCCACGTGATGGGGCTAAGGGTACCCAGAGGACTGGTGAGGAGTCCTTTCTGGGTGTGACTGGAAGAGTGTGTCCAGAGGACAGCAGCTCCTAAACTGGTGTGTCCAGAAGTAAGAATCATGTGCCTAATGAACAGATGGGCACATGTGCTCTTTCCTCTGGGGCTGACACCTTTCTCTCGACCTTCGATGTCAGCACTCTGGGTTCCAGAGTCTTCAAGCTCCCCCAGATTCTCTGGCCTTGGCAGTGACACTGTTACCCCCCTAGTTCTCAGTCCTGTGGACTGGGCCTGAGCCACACGACTGACTTCCCTGGCTCTCCAGCTGGCACACAGCCTAGGGAGGGACTGCTGAGCCTCGTAACGGTGGAACCACTCCCAAGATGCTGCTGTCCTCTGACACATCTAGGTATAAACTCTGCAGAATCAGAAGGAGGGAGGATCAACAGGTGGCACATACAGGAATTCAGAGCAGGGGAACCACTCTGTGCAGTACTGCAGTGAAGGGTATAGGTCCTCTTACATTGGTTCAAACTTCAGAAGGTTCAAAACCAAGAGCGAGCTCTAATGTGCACCACGGAGCTTGGGTGATAGTGATGTGTCTGACAAGTGTGCCCCAGGTATGGGATGCCAACAGTGGGAAGGTGCATTATGTTGGGGGCATGGGCATATGGAAAACCACAGCACTTTCTCTTCCATCTTGCTATGGACCTCAACTTCGTTCAAAATTTTCTGGTGTTGTTGGGAATCAAATCCAGGGCCTCTGCCACAGAGCAATATCCCAGCCCTACAAGATTAAGTCTTGGAATAAAACCCATTGATTCTAACATTGCAAGAATTGTAATTAGCAGATTTACTAATAGCCAGCCCTCTGTGTCTGTGGGCTGCACATGCATACACACAAGCAATCACAGATTGAAAATATTTTTAAAACACTGGTCTTCACTGAACATGTGCACACTTTTTTCCTTGTTGTTATTCCCTAAACCATGCAATGTATCAACGATTCACACAGTGTTGACATGGCACGGGGTATTAGTGACCTAGAGATGATCACAGGGGCAGCAGGAGAGGCACGGATGACCCAGCAGTTTCTCCCCCTGAGTCCTGGAACCGTCCCTGAGGATACTGAGGGCATCACCTCTCCCCTTTGTTCCTGAAGTACCCATCTCCTCCCTTCCTCTGCTCTCAGTGCAGTGGGGCTTCTTTTCACTGGGGTGGAAAAGGGACTCTAGGCTGTAGACAACAGAGGTGAGGCTCTGGGGACAGGACAGTCCTGGGGACGGAAGGAGACCCAACAAAGTGAGGCTGTGTGGCTCACAGCATGCTGCCATGAGCGAGTGACCCAAAGCCACCTTGCTCCTGGCATGTGGCAGTCTGCGTGGCTTCACTGGTCTGCCTGCACGCAGCATCACCCACACACCTGAATATCTGGTGTTAGCTTGTGATGTGTGTTCAGAGTAGAATGTCACATAAATACCATCTAAAACTGCCGACTGTCTAAGCCTTTAACAATTGAGAAAAGCAAAAAAATTTCTTAAAATCTGAAGTGAGTTTCAAAGAAATCAGGCCTTGCTACTACATTCTGAGAATTCCCAGTTGAGCCAACAGGGTCTCATTTCACTGACTGATTAAAACCAGGGTCCATGGGACAGAAATGGATCCCATGACCTCCAGGCAACTCAGTTCTCAAACATATTTGTAAGGCCAATTTCTAGAAAGTGAGCATCCAGGTGATTGTGACTATGAAACAAGTCATGAAAGCTACTTTGGACGTCCACTTATAAATTCAGCGTTTTTGAAAGCCTTTCTCCAAAGGGAGCAGCAGACCTGGAGTGGAGTTTGTCACCCTGGTACGTGTAAAGCAAGGACAGCCTGCTCCAGAGCCTCAGGAAGAGCAAGCAACACTGTCCTCCCAGAGAGGAGGGGAGCAGCTCCTCAGAGGCTCAGGAGGGGCCGTGCCACCCAGCATGGCGATCGCGGGAAGAGGCACTGTGCTCAGGAAATGCCCCGCTGCAAAGTGTGGCGAGCCAGCAAAAGCAATGTCTACCTGGAGAGCTTCTGAGCTAACGCCCTTCTCTTTCCAGAGCAGAAAGTGCCAAGTGACCATTCTTCCCTGAGACACACAGAAGTGCCTCCCTCTTCCTCCACAGCTTCTGAGCTGCTGATCTTGAGCATGGCGCCCACTCACCTCTCTAGGCTGTCCTCTTCCAGGGTGATCTCCATGAAGGCCTTCAGCTTTCTGTGCACAGTGGCTGCAGTCTCCTTTACTTTGGAACTTCTGTGTTTACCTGTGACAAGAACATAGTGGGAGAGGGGAGGGAACGCAGTGTCACCACAGAGGCACAGAATGCTCTGCACATGCAGCCACTCCCATGTGCCCTTCCAGCCGACCCACCCAGGGATGCTGTTAAGGTCCAGCGTGTATTCATGGAAGCTCGGCTGTGGGCGGAGTCCCGGGGCTCTGATCCCACAGCCTTAAAGAAGCTCTCTGCCACATACCAAACAGAAGGGGCAATGGGCATATTTCAGAGCTCTCCCCCAGTTTAAGCATGGTGGACACTCAGCACCCCAGGCTCCATCCTCACAGCTCCTTGTGGGCGCTGCCCCTCATGCTGTGCATTTAAAATCAGGAGTCCCTTAGAGAAGCTCATGGACCTTCAATGTGGCACCTCCCTGGTGTTGTGCATTTTAACTCGGGGCGGAGGGTGGGGGGAGGTTCCTCTTAGACAAGTCTTTTCTGTGCCTAATCAAGTCCAACAAAGTTAAAAAATAGTACATATTGGGCTGGGATTGTGGCTCAGCAGTAAAGAGCTCGCTTAGCACGGGCGGGACCCAGGTTCGATTCTCAGCACCACATAAAAAAATAAAGGCATTGTGTTGTGTCCATCTACAAAAAAAAAAAATAAATAAAATAAAAAAATAAATAAAAAAAATTCTCTCTTAAAAAAAAAAAAAAAAAAGTACATATGGAGCTTCCCTAATCTGGAAGTCTATAATCTGAAAGACCCTTAAATCTAAAACTTTTTGACTCTTCTATGATAGTCTTCTAAAAGTTTCAGATTTTGAACCATTTTGAAATTTGACTTTTTTCAGATTAGAGATCCTCGCCCAGGATAGTCTATGCAAATATTTAACAATCTGGAAAACTTCCAAATCCGAAAGACTGCTGGTACTCGGCATTTGGGATAAAGGTAGTCCACCTGTATTATAAATCTATAGACACACATCACATTCAGTCTCTTGGGGACAGCCTGTTTCAACAGAAGACTTCTCCACCTACAGCAAACTAAATTTAAAAAGCCCTTGGGGCTGGGGATGTGGCTCAAGCGGTGGTGGGCTCGCCTGGCATGCGTGCGGCCCGGGTTCGATCCTCAGCACCACATACAAACAAAGATGTTGTGTCCACCGAAAACTAAAATAAATAAATAAATATTAAAAAAAAAAAAAAAAAAAAAAAAGCCCTGCCAACAGCTGAGACGCTGAAAGATAGGCCACCCCAGTGATGGTGCTGTGACTGTTGCAATTACTCCTCCACAGCTGTTTCTACTTGTTGGGATGTGAAAGAGGCAGAGTACCGACATGAACATCATTAACAAATTACATTTTTCACTTTTGGGGGGAGCAGATTGGGAGGCGGGCAGTCTTGCTATATTGCCTATATACTCTTACTCAAACTCTTAGTACTGAGTAATCATCCTGTGTCAGCCCCACAAGCAGCTGAGACCACCAGCCCGTGCCACCATGCCCAGCCAGCACATCAACAGAAATTCAATTCTACGGCAGAAAGGAATGCTGGAAGGCACCCAGTGTGCAAGGTGGAAGGTGGACTGGAACTGCAGTGCAGAAGGGACCACAAGCTCCTGCACAGGCAGGCAGGCAGGCTACGAGGGCAGGCCCGCCTGATGGGGAGCCAGCAAGGATCAGAGCGCCCAAGCACACCTGCCAATGGCTCAGGCATACCCAGCAGCGTTCCCGATGGAGGAGAGAGAAGGTAACCCACCTTTGTTGATCACCAAAATAAGATGCAGAACAGCTGTGAGGCACACAATGCCTTCAATGTCTCCAGAAATCACACACGCCTTCAACTCATCCAGAAATGACCTGTAAAATTAACAAGCATCTGGCTTACTCCACAGGACGTGCTGATAACTACCAGAACAATAAACAGGAGGTTCATCAATAACCACACCACCGTTTGCAAGGTGGGAAACTAGCTGAACTCTTCCCATACACTGTACTGCGTGCACCATGACATGCAGGTCAGGCACTGAAACCAGGTGTCCTTGCTGGAGAGAGCACAGCACTGGCGGGTTAAGAGAGCCTACACCCGCCACCACATGACTCAGAGCTGCCGAAAAAGGTGCTCTGGGTTTTTCAGCATTCAGGGCACGCACCTGCCATGAGGGCCTGAGGTGTCTGCCGTCTATAGAACCATTCCCTCTGCACCGCCAGTGCTCTGTGCCACCCAGACCCCGAGATTTCAGCCGTGGATTCCCCACATGGGCCGGGGAAAAGGGTGACAGCTACGCATGGACAAAAGCTACCGTGACGTTTAACCCAGTAAGGCGTCTGAAAGCACGTGTGCAGGGAGCTGCACTAGACGACCTCATGTTTCCTCCTCAACTAAATGCTACTTATGCTCGCATGACAAGACAATGGAGGTGAACATGCTGTACAGGAGAACAGGGGTTTTCTTTATATAAGTTTCTTGTAAACATTTTTTTATCACTGAAATGGGGGGGGGGGGAAATCCATGGAAAGTTTTCGTTGCAGAAGAAAATGCACCTTTCCAAATGTAAGAGTGATGGGAAGAGCAGGAGCTGTCAGAGGAGGCACAGCCAGGCAAGCCTCAGACCCGCAGAGAGGACACTTACCTGACCACGTCCGGAGACTTTATTACTATTCCTATCAGGCATCTTGAAAACGGGGGAAGGTCAGAAAGGCACTCTGGTGGAGTGAGCTCTTCCAAATCAGAAATCTAGAAAAAGTTTCAAGTCAGTAGGTTATAAACTGAGGCTGGGCTAAGGCTTATTTTACATTTCTCTGAGCTTTCCGCTACACCTGGGAAAGCTCTCCAGAAACTCGAAAGAATGACTTTCAGTAACTATCGAAATGTCCACAATAAATATGAACAATCCATTATTGTGCACCAGGGAGTCTTAGTAAGACAGAGATAGAAAAAAAGAAAAAAGGTCTTTTGTGCTGGATGCGGTGGCACATGCCTATAATCCCAGCACTGAGAGGGAGGCTGAGGCAGGAGGATCATGAGTTCAAAGATAGGCTCGGCAGTTTAGCAAGGCCCTAAACAACTTAGCAAGATCCTGTCTCTAAATAAAACTTATAAAAAGGGCTGGGGATGTGGCTCAGTGGTTAAGCCCATATGGGTTCAATCCCTGTATAAAAAAAAAGTCTTTTGTTTTGGGGTCATATGCTATGAATATTGTGTATTTATGCTAAGTCTTAACTCCCTCCTTTTCAGAGCTCCATTTCCTGGTGAGTCTGTGTTGTGCCAGGCGGGGCATGCTCTGCCTAGTCAAAGGAAAAGCATGCTTCACAGCCTGCACAGGGCAGAGTCCTTCAACAGCGCTCTCGATAACCAAGGCCTTTACCATCAGCCACGAGGTTACACAGGTGCTTCCCTGGTGAATGAAAACCACCTGCACACAGCTCTAGGGAAGGCTGTATCCAAAACTGCTCTGCAGGGCTCCAATATTAATCTGGATGGTGAAGTCAGCCACTGTGATATGTGTAACGATACTATTTATCATTAGAATGCTTTACATCTAGAGCTGTGTTGCAAGGGCTTTTCTGATACTATTAGACAAAAGATTGTTAATTATGGGTCAAGATTCCTAGCCCATATAGAAGTACAAATAGGACCACAGCAGGAGGGTGGAAGGGTTCTACTGGTAAGAGCACTGCTAAATCCCCAGCAGGGACCTGGCATGGGTGGCTGTGGAAGGCAGACTCTGATGACTGCACCTTGCATATGGAAACGTCTAGAGAAAGCACTCAAAAGTACACAAAGAATAATGTGAAGTCAACAGAGAAGATACTAGAGTAGCAACACCTGATTCATCAAAAAAGAGCAAGGAAAAAAAATCTGAGAAAGTCACAGGGCAGATGGGACCAGCGGGAACAAATGGTGAGATGATCAGCTTAGTCCCAGTGTGTACCCAGTAAGGAATCCCCAAGCACAGAGGGAGGGGGACAGCTGAGTGGAGCACGGCCAGCAGCAGGCACACACTTGGCCTCATCTTCCTGTCACTAAGGCAGACGACCTCCTGTCCCACTGTAAGGAGGCCCTCATTCTATTTCATGCTTATAATTTAGGGAATACCTTAGGCAGTTTATATTCTCACAGTCACGCACTGCACAAGACCTTGCAGCCACCCAGGGACTGCACCATGCCAATGTCCCCTCAGACTGTGCCATCTGGCACACGCACGGTGGAGCTCTAGAGCGCATCCCCACTGGCAGGCAGACTCCAGGAAGTGGTACAGGAAGAGTCGCCCAACAGGGGTCACGGCGTGTCCTCGTGGTTAAGTGGCACATGTGTGTGTAAACCCAACTCTCCCAGTAGGAATCCCGTCGGAGCCCACCTTTCTGGGCTGAGACCCTGCTGTTAACTCCCCTGTCCTCTTACATCACTACCCACCTCCTCGTGGTCTCTTTGTCAACTGCCACCCTGATTACATAGCTCTTCAACCAAATCGGCTAATAATTTTTGTATTAATGATCATCACCCTCTATTCATCCACAGCTACTATGAGGAAAATAAGATAGTCTGTGGGAATGAATGAATTATCAATTTATCCTATCAGAAATTCAAATTTCCTATGCTTAGAAATTAAAAAAAAAAAAAAATGGTTGACCATGCAGCAGGCAGAGACACAAGATGTCCTACACAAACACAGCCGGTCCTCCTGCATTCTGCTCACCCCGACTATCCAGGCTTTAGGAAAGAGTGGCTTTTGTTTTGTTTTGTTTTGTATTTTTATTACCGGGGATTGAACTCAGGGGCACTCGACCACTGAGCCACATCCCGAGCCCTATTTTGGATTTTAGTTAGAGACAGGTTCTCACTGAGTTGCTTAAGGCCTCACTTTTTGCTGAGGCTGGCTGTGAGCTTGCAATCTTCCTGCCTCAGCTTCCTGAGCCGCTGGAATTAAGAAGCATGTGTCACCCCACCTGGCTAGGAAAGAATCTTAACAGAGATGGACCCATTCGGACCTCTAAGGTGTGACTAGCAGATGTGTTCAAGGTGAGCCAGCCCATAAAGGCTGTGTTTGAAAACTCAAAACTGTGCTGCTGGTAGAAGCAGCGTTGTGGACAGTCAAGAAGAGGCATCACCGTTTCAGGATCCAAATACTTTACCTTCCGCAGACGGTGACTCATCTCAACCACAGGCGCAGCAATCAGAGTGGAGAGCACGCCCCGGTGGACAGGAGTGTCCTGGTGCCAGGACTGCACGGTGGTTATGAATGCATGAAGAGGGGTCTGGACAGAGTAAAGGAGCTGCAAGGAAACAGAGGCTGTCCTCAGTGGAGCTGCAAGCCAAGGTTACCTAGGACAGGCAGACCCTGAAATGAGGATTCCCACCGTCCTCCCATGGCGCCAACGCCAGGAAGCTTACTTCCCTGCCGTCAGAGCCCACCGGGCTCCCTTCTGTGGCTGACTCAGACGTGACCAAAGCCCACTGGAAACCACCATTTGACATTCCCTCACCAAGAGCAAACAAAAACTTTTGAAGACAGACGAGTCAACAGTAGTCAGGGAAAGAGGGAGGGAGGGAGGAGGAAAGAAGAAAGAACCATAGGGAGAAACATCGATGACATTAAAATAAGACATCAAACCTAAGACAACGTGTTCTGAATGAGGCCACTCAACCAACGTCAAGAGTTGACAGGAACACGAGGTCTTGGCATAAATTACTTTACACAAACAGATCACAGACACCAAGACACAAACATTTGAAATGAATTCAAGTACAAACTAGAATAGGAAAAATATGGCAAACAATCTTCAGTTTTACCCATCAGCTAAGGATAGAATAAAATTGAAATCTTTAGTATTTTAAGAATGGTTAAATAGAAAAAGAATGGCTCTCCAATAACAACACGAACTTGTCCAGGAACCGGCACTGCATTATCTTTAGGAGTAAAACAAATGTGGTATATGGGTTTTGTATGAGTTCCTTCTTCAATAATCCCGCATCACTTCAATTAATGCAAATTGCTTCCAGGCAAGGTGTCTACTCATTCTACACATAATCAAAAATTAGCATTTTTCAAAAGCCTATTCTAATCCCCTCAACAGGCACAACTACAATGCCCCAATTAAAAAAAAATGTGTCGGGTGGGGGTAGTCTATTCTATCTGGATATTTCTAGCAGTAACCGTTGCTGGGAGGCTGGGGCGATCTGTTCTGCTTCCTGCTAGAGCCCTCGGTGGAGAGTGTCTTGAGTGGGCCCTGCAGCACAGACACTGGCCCAGCCCTGCAGCAGAAGCATGGGTGAGGGCTGGGCCCACATACCTGCCACTGGGTCTCCACAAGCCCAGCCCAGGGACCCAAGAACACCTCACCCACAGCACAGCCCACCACGAGGGTGCCAGTACCTGGAGGCCTTCTTCTGGTTGCTCCCTGAAGCTCCGTGCAATAGATTCCAGCATTTTCTGAAACACTTTCTGGACTGTATCATACAACACTGTAATGACCTCATCTGGATCTGGTTTCTGAATGCAGGAACTTCCTGTCACCTCTTTCAGAATGCCAAGAAGCAGTGAGACATAAAAAAATCCCTTCTCTGGAAAGGAAAGAAGAAGAATCAGTTACATGATACACAAGCCCGATGAAATCTCTTAACATGCGTATCTGAAGGTAGATCAAAGGAGCATATAACTCCATGTTGATCAGAGTAATCTAAATTCTTAACCTAAACTGAAATGTAAAAGCTTTGTCTGATTTAGGTGTGAAACCCAATGCCCTCAGCCACTGAGCTGTGTGAACACAGGGCAACATGGCAGTGAGGCTCCTCCCACACCCCGTGACTTCTCCCAGCTAAGAGTGAAGTCGACATTCAGCTTCAACAAGCACCCCAGAGCGATGGTTCTGTGGTTAACACTCGGCAGTAGCATATTTATTCTCTTTCTTTTCCAGGTTTCTCCTCACTGGGCTGCATTAATTTGGTAAAATTTACTCCTGTGTAAACCTGATTATATTATACTATTCATCCTTGAAACCCTGAATTTTCATCTTTGTTTTGTACACTGAACTATAAAAGCAGAGCCAGCTCCTGTGAGCTTTGTGGGTGAATCTGACACACCATCCAGAAGCAGGCTGGGCCTCATTTGTATGGCCACAAGGCCATGTTGTAAGGTGCTGTCCTAGAGTCCACCCCATACTTAAAATATACCCCACTAGGAAGCATAGGAACTGTGAGCGCAGGCAGTTAGCTAGAGGTGAGCAGGAGGGTCTGACACGGCAACTGACCCGGAGGCAGCAGTCTTACTGCACCTTCCATAACGGGGTCATAGGCTTATGGGCACATCATGCTCTCAAGGCCACATGTGTGCCAACAAGCGGCTGAGGGTCAGCTGATACTTGTGTGACTTTGTGCTGGTGGTGCTAGGCCAGAAAGGGCAAAATGACCCAAGTCATGCCGTCAATTCTACACAACACTGGCGCCTGACTCGACCCACAAGGGGCAGCAGCTACACTAAGTGCTGGGCTGGGAAGCCAGGCTACCTGGCTCTCCAGGGCTTTCCATCCCCTCCAGCCCCACCCTGCAACCTCACCCAAAGACCAGAGCCTCATCATTCGGTGCATCTCACCTTCCCTTACCTTTCCACTCCCTTGCAATGACCTGCTCTAGACACCATCTCTACCTTGCAGTACCTGCGTTTCTGTGCCCAGGGAACAGTCCTAACCCTAGGCAATCTTAGACATCACCCTGTTGACCCTCAACCTCCAGTAACAAGACTTCTCCTGTGAGACCAGCAAGGAGACAAGGACACGGGCCTGCAAGCACCGCAAGCAGCACGACAGAGCAGAGGCATGGGAAGTTCTGCCTCAGACCTCCGGATCCACCTGCGGAAAGGAGATCTGGTGCCACCTCCAGGCCTGAGGTTCACAGCTCAGCCAGGATCAGCAACAGATGTGGATCTCTAAGCCCATAGCAGAGATCTTCAAGGAGCTGCACTCGGATGCAAAGAAGGTGCAAGGACACACTCCTCACAGCTCCTAGTGTGGAAACGCCCACAGTGGGGCAGGTGAAGGGGCACTGTGCTCTGCAGACCACAGGCCCACAAACCAGAGGACCTGTCCTCTGACATCCCCCTCTGCAGGGGTTGTCGCTGTGATGCCGGCAAAAACATCCAGAAACTCTAATTCAGAACCCTGTTATCTTCAAGCATATGTGCCTCATAAACCTAGAACAGAAGAGCACTGGTCAGGCCACCTGGCCGCCTGCAGACATGCAGGATACACAGCAAGGAAGGACATGGCAGGTGCTGGCCTGAGGCCTCTGCAGGTGACAGAGTTCTCAGCACACTGCTAGGCAGCCTGAACCTGAGCGTCTTGGCTCCGAGGGCTCTCCCCAGAAGCTGATCTCTTTAGGATGCCCCTGGTCTGTAAATCAACAAGTACTTGCTAACAGGGAGGGCAGCAAGCCATAGCACCAGCCTGGCCTGAGCCCCCCGGCCCCCGCCTCAGATCCCGCTCCACCAACCTCCTTCACCTCTGCACTCAAGATAGTCTCCCACGGACCTAACCTTCCTTTTCACCTGCGATGGTACTTTTCACCAGGAGACGTTCTCCTGTGAGTCCTGCGGCTTTGGTTCCTGACTCTGCAGAGTGGCCATGCTTCTGAGGCACATGCATGCGCTAGTGGGGGCACCTGGATGCCTGTGGCTGGCTTCAGCTATGTCCCAGGAAGACCCCTTCTTTGGTCCATGTCAGTGTGGAGAGTACCATAATCAACATCAACATAAATAACTTCTTAAATTACAATGGTTTCTTGACTAGGACTCAGGTTAGGAAAAGGTCCAGCCAACTACGGACTGTAGGTCTACCAGGCTGCACTGCCAAGCAGGACTCCAGCTGCAGGAGAATGGCTGCACAGGGCACCCCATCTGGGAGCGCTGGTTACTGGAATGTGTGGGTACAAAGTTCACAGCTACGGTCAAGTCGGGACCTTATTTTGAGGAAAAAGACATCATCATGTAATGAAGCTGGAGACCAGGACTCTACTCAGCTCCTCGGAAAAGAAGACATTATAAACACTAGAAGTAGTCCTTAGAGGAAAATTATTCGTAAATAAGTTTAAAAAAATCAATCATTCTGACTGTTCAATCATCGAACTCAAGTACAGAACATAGAGCTTAAGAAAAAAGGCCACTGACCACAAACTATACTGGCTCTGCTTTAGGTGTGGGCTTTACCTCTGGGAATTCTGAACCAACTCCAGGGCCTGGACCACGTCCCCGCTCCAGGACCACCCCAGCACCAACTCCAGCAGCAGCAGAACGAGACAGGGTGAGACCCTCTCCTGTTGTGGGGCTGCATGACCAACGGGCTCCCCTCCAAGCGGCTGCAGTGTGCCCAATGCAGCTTGCCACAGGGAAGGGTCCTCAGCCTCACCCAGCAAGTCCAGGCCTACAGAAATGTCGCCTTCAAATGCTGAGGCTTCCTGGGTCTCAGTCACTCTCAACAGTTGACCCCACGGAGGCAATGGGGCTGGAGGCTGGCTGGGGCTGGGAGTAGGGTTTAGGGGTCACAGCACAAGAGACAACACTCAGAAGGTGGAGGGACAGGGCAGCAACCCCAGATCCCAGGCCCTCCAGGGCACATCCCATACCACACCCAGCACACACCATGCTTCCGACCACTCTCTGACACAGACTCCAAGCCTCTGGTGGCCAGGACCTCAATGGCTCACTGAGCACATGAAACTGAGTACCTAGCAGCAGCAAACAGGGTGCCATGTGGCCAGCTGCCATGGGCTACCTACACTACCTATCCTTGGTCCTGGGGGGCATTACCCAACAACTCCCAGCTCACCCCACACCAGCAGCACAAAGCCAGATCCTAGCCACCCAGGGCTCTTCTGCCAGATTCCCTGCACAGGAAATAAGAAGGGGAGTCGGGATGGGTTGGGGCGCAGCAGTAGAGCGCTTGCCTAGCACGCAAGAGGCCCTGACTTCAATCCTCAGAACCACATTCATAAAAATAAATATGTAAAATAAAGATATTGCATCCAACTACAACTAATAAATAAATAAATAAAAATATTAAAAAAAAAGAAAAAAAAAAGAAGGGTAGTCTGCCCGGCTGTGAAGCAGAAAGCAGGAGCCGTGTGTCTGGCACCAAAAACACCTGTGGACGTCCTGGCAGCCTCAGCCAATAAACCCTTCTTTTGGTATAAGCTGGTTGCACATTTATTTATTGTCACTTGAAAGCCAGAATCCTAGCCCACAAAGCACAAGAGGGACGGGCAGGGGACTAGCTATGTTGCCATAAATAGTCCTTAAAGGATGGAATATACTGTGCCTGTCTGCATGATTCCAAGACTCCGCTGTAAAAGCTGTATCTGGAACTGGGGGTCTCCGAGCCCAACCAGGACGACGTCTTTACAAACAGTCAGGTAGGTCTGTAAGAGACAGATAAGGTGCACCGGCAGAGCTGTTAAAGAGGACCAACCAGGCGTGACAGAACTTCCCCTATGTGATGGACCACTTCTCAAAGTGGTCCGACACAAAGATGTTTCTAAAGGAATCTCTGTGAGGATACATTCTCATTTCTATTGCCTTAAGAAATCTAGAGACATATTAGATGTGATTCCACCAACCTAACCAAATACCTATCACATGCAATGTGTGAAGCTGCATTCATATCACACAGCCTGGACTTTGCACAAAGGAAAACTCCAGATACTTAAGTGCCACTGTGCACACTTACAAGGACCCAGGCCATGGTCTGCAATGACACATGAAGCAGGGAACACAGCTGTGCACAGAGCACACGGTTGGAGATGGCACCACGTGCCCAGATGGCTCACCTGGATGATCTGCTGGTAGACAACCCTCTGAAGCTTCAGATGCTCTTCCTCTTGATCTTGAATTAAAGGCAAAACTTTGCTTTCTAGCCAAAACCCAGTGTCTTCCAAGATGGACAGATGAACTCTCCCTTCTGAGCAGAACTGTGCAACACAAAACAGCAAGGTGGGTGGTAAAGAAAGCGCCTCTGAAGGGAGCTGCTCGCACCAATGGGCTGGGGCCGCGCACCTTGACCTGCAGGTGAATGCTCAGCCGGCAGTGCAGACTGAAGGCTCGCAGGGCAGCTGCTTGGCTGAAGTGAGGGGGCTTCCCACCTGGCGACCGCAGAAGTGATTCCAGATCTACCTGCAATGTCACAACCTCAGTGCCACATTCTGATTACCACGTCCCCATATCGTCCTAAGGCAAGTACCATCAGGATGCACGGGGGAACTAGAGGTACCCAGCTCTGGTGAAGCTGACCTCTGCTGTCTCTCTACCTGAACGCGAACAGCTGAGTGGGCCCGAGAAGCACACAGCTGGCCCAGCAGGACAGGTCCACAGGGTGTGCACAGAGCCCCATGAGCCCTGCCCTACCGGGCGCCTGGCTCTGCTAAACTACCACATGGGATAAGAGCAGGGGCAGGTGCTATTCACTGCTACAGGAGTAGCCAAGCCAGCCAGGAGGGAGGAAACAGGTCCACAGGGCGCTGAGGACATGAGGAATTCACACACTGCCCAAGGTTCCTGGAAAAATCAAGGACTTCAAGGGAGCCAGTGTTTCCTCCAAGTCTTCCTGGACTGGCATGCTGAGCAGGGATGACCCACCCACCAAGCCCGGGGCCCCCAAAACCTGGGCAGAAACGCAGGCGTCGAGCAGGTAGAAGGCTCTGCTGAACTCCCCTGCTGTCTCAATGTCCTTGTGGACTATCTGTCTTCATTTCTTTCAGCTCAAAAAATACTACTGCACCATCAATAGCAAAACTTCACATTTTACCTGTCACTGCAACCACCATTCAAAATCACTCAACTTTCAAGGAGAATGTTACCTTTGACATCTCAAGTGCTTTCAAAAGATGGTTAAGTTTCTTCCAGGGCATAGAGAGCAAGCACTCCCTATTCTTTGGATGGGTCAGCAAATACTCCAAGTAAACCAATGCCAGCTCAGGTTTCGCTGGGCGCGTGTCATGGATTTGCACTTTGCGTTTGGATGCTGGATGACTCTGAAGGGGAACAGAGGCGTTAAGTGGACAATTACAGCTCAAGCCCCAAACAGTTGTCTGCACTGGCCTGGCTCCAGAGGCATGGCACGCACCTGGGTCTGGGGCCGCTCCCTGGGCAGCCAGTCATCGATGAGCTCCAGGATGTGCCCCACCTGCCCCCACGAGCAGAGGCAGTCCAGCAGGGTGCAGTAGCTCCTATCTGCTGTGCCCTCCTCCTGGCTCCTCAAGGTGGAGACCACGCTGCAGCTGGGAACGCCAGGTTCAGAGAGCAGATCAGTATCCTGACCACAGTCCTCCTCTAAGTAGCTCTGTATATTCTGGGCTCATAACACATCTCAACCCAGAAGGTCAGTGATGGCGGTGAGCTGGATCTCGAGCTCTGTACCTGAACACGAGTGTCACCACCCCAGGTGCTACAGCGCCCAGACTCCCGAGGGCAGTCCTGGTACTCGCCCTCATCTCTCCAGGGCCCACCCGCACAGGGAGGGGCCACAGCATGGTGGCTGACTGAAGCCAGTGACCCGGCACAGTGGTGCTGAGATTCTTACTTTACTGTAGCATACCTGAATGGAGGGACAGCAGATGCTGGCAGGAAGGACATCAGCATAAACAAAGGGATCTTGCAGCGATCATCCTAATAGCACAGGAAGGAAAACAAAACAAACAGGGTGCCTGACACCAGGACGCCTCACGACCCATCTCCAGGGCTGCCAGTGAGCACTGCAGCAATCCTTCACCGTACCAACTAATCCCACTGGCCAGGAGGGAGAAGATGCTTCCTAAATCAAGTGCCCTGCAAGTGACACAACTCCAGGACTATGTAAATACGCAGGCTCCAACTCGGCCCTGCAGGCAGACCAGTAGCCAGAAGGGAAGAAAGTCCCTGCTGCAGTCCCCAGTGTTCATTCCTTAATTTTTATTCTGTAAATTCTATTTGTTCTTTTTAGTTACACATTAGAGTGCATTTTGGATTCCACTCTTGTGGTTGTACATGACGTGGAGTTTCACTGTGGTGTGTCCATATACATACAAAGGAAAGTCATGTGAGATTCGTTCCATTGTCTTCCCCAGACCCACCCCCTCCTTCATTCCCCTGTCTGCTGTTACGTGTTAACATAGGCTCGCTTTATGCATTTCAACATATTATACGTACATGGAGTATAACTAATTCTCATTAGGATCCATTTTTGTGGTTGTACACGATGTAGAGTTTCATGGATTGTGTATTCATATATGAACATAGGGAAGTTATATCCCATTCATTCTTCTGTTTTTCCTATACCCAACCCCCAACCCTTCCCTTCATTCCCCTTTATCTAATTCAAAGAACGTCTATTCCCCAGCTCCTTATTGTATGTCAGCATCTACATATCATAGAGAATACCTGGCCTCTGTTTTTTTGGGATTGGCTTATTTCACTTAGCATAATAGTCTCCAGTTCCATTCATTTATAGGCAAAAGCCATAATTTCATTCTTCTTTATGGCTGAATAATATTCCATTATGTATATATACCACATTTTCATTATCTACTCTTCTGTTGAAGGGTACCTAGCTAGATTGTTTCCATAGTGGGTGCATCATTGTAGTATGTTGATTTAAGTTCTTTGGGTATATACTGAGGAGTGGGATAACTGAGTCAAATGCTGGTTCCATTCCATACTGCTTTCCAGAATGGTACACCAGTTTGCAGTCCCACCAGCAATGTATGAGTGAACGTTTTCCCAACATCCTCACCAACATTTACTGTCATTTGTATTTTTGATTGTTGCCATTCTGACTGGAGTGAGATGAAATCTCAGTGTACTTTTAATTTGCATGTTTCTAATTGCTAGAGAAACTGAAACTTTTTTTCATGTATTTGTTGAATGATCATAGTTCTTCTGTGAAGTATCTATTCAATTCCTTTGCCCATTTATTGATTGAGTTATTTAGAGGTTTTGTTTTGGTGTTTCTTGAGTTCTTTATATATCTTGGAGATTAATGCTCTGAAGTGCAGGTGGCAAAGATTTTCTCCCACCCTGTAGGTTCTCTTCACATTCTTGGTTTGTTTCTTTTGCTGCTTAGAAGCTTTTTAATTTGACACCATCCCAAATATTGATTCTTGATTTTTACTTCTTTTGCTTTAGGAGTCTTATTGAGGAAGTCAGTTCCTAAGCCGACATGATAGAGAGCTGGGCCTACATTTTCTTCTAGTAGGCATAGGATCTCCGGTCTAATGCCTAGGTCCTTGATCCACTCTGAGTTCAGTTTTGTGGAGGGTTAGAGATGGGGGTTCAACTTCATTCTGCTACATATGGATTTCCAGTTTTCCCAGCATCATTTGTTGAAGAGGCTATCTTTTTTCTCAGTGTATGTTTATAGCACCTTTGTCTAGTATGAGATAACAGTGTTTATGTGGGTTTGTCTCTGTGCCTTCTACTCTGTTCCATTGGTCTCCATGTCTGTTTTGGTGTCAATGCCACGTTGTTTTTGTTACTATATCTCTGTAGTATAATTTAAGTTCTGGTATTGTGATGCCTCCTGTTTTTCTCACTAAGGATTGCTTTGGCTATTCTAGACCTGTTATTTTTCCAAATAAATTTCGTGACTGCTTTTTCTATTTCTATAAAGAATGTCATTGGAATTTTAATAGGAATTGCATTGAATCTGAATAGCACTTTTCACAGCATGGCCATTTTGACAATATTAATTCTACCTATCCAAGAACATGGGAAGTCATTTCATCTTCTAAGGTCTTCTTCAATTTCTTTCTTTAGTGCTTTGTAGTTTTCATTGTAGAAGTCTTTTACCTCTTTTGTTAGATTGATTCCAAAGTGTTTTGTGTGTTTTTTTTTTTTTTGAGGCTATTATGAATGAAATAGTTTTCCAAATGATTCATCATTGATATATGCGAGTGCAATTTATTAATTAGTGTCAATTTTATATCCTGCTATTGCTGGATTAATTTATGAGTTCTATAAGTTTTCTGGTAGGTTTTTGGGTCTTCTAAATATAAAATCATGTCATTGGCAAATAGGGATAGCTTGAGCTCTTCTTTTCCTATTCTAATCCCTTTAATTTCTTTCTTTTGCCTAATTGCTCTGGCTAGGGTTTCAAGGACTATATTGAACAAAAGAACATGGTAGTGAAAGAGGGTATCCCTGTCTTGTTCCAGTTTTTAGAGAGAATGCTTTCAGTTTTTCTCTGTTTAGAATGACGTGGCCTTGGGTTTTAACATATATAGATGTCAGGGTATGATCCTCCTACCCCTAGTTTTTCTAGTATTTCAAACATGAATGGATGCTGCATTTATATGCTATGTTGTATATGAACATGAATATTATATACTGAACATGAATGGATGCTATATTGTTACCAGGCACCCATCAGATCCCACAGACACACCAGAACCAGAAGGAACAAAATTCCATGCTGTCATTTCCTTTAAAAACAATAATAGAGCTGGGGTTGTGGATTAATGGTAGGCACTCACCTAGCACGTGCGGGGCCCTGGGTTTGAGCCTCAGCACACATAAAAATAAATAAATAAAAGTATTGTGTCCAACTACAACTAAAAAAATAAATATTAAAAGAAAAAAACAATACTAGCCAGGCGTGGTGGTACATGCCTGTAATCCCAGCAGCTTGGGAGGTTGAGGCAGGAAGATCTCGAGTTCAAAGCCAGCCTTAGCAAAAAGGGAGGTGCTAAGTAACTCAGTCAGATCCTGTCTCTAAATAAAATACGAGAAAGGGCTGGGGACGTGACTCAGTGGTTACGCGCTCCTGGTTTCAATCCTCAGAACCAAAAAAAAAAAAAAAAAAACTGATGAGCTGAGTGCAGTGGTACACCTGTGATCCCAGATACTAGGGAGACTAGGGCAAGAGGATTCCAAGTTCCAGGCCAGTCTCAGCAACTCAGCTAGACTCTGTCTCAAAATAAAAGTAAAAAGGACAGGGAATATAGCTCAGTAGTAGAGCACCCCTGGGTTAAGCCACAGTATAATCAATCAAAGCAATACTCATAAAAGGAAAAAAATTAACTGTACACTTGGAATCCTGAACTCTCAGAAGAGGAAAACTATTGGGAAATTCTACAAAATGAACCAGAATATCCTTAGAAAACAGTGAAGATTGCCAGGCACTCACAGCTTCGGAGCTCTGAAGCCAGTCTAAGCCTAATCAGAGCACACAACCCGACAGCAGGCAGACACTGTACCAGGCCTCCCGGGGCAGCGGCACCCAGTACTGTGGTGTGCTCGTGGATAGCAGCTTTATTAGAGCTAGCATTAATGCAACAGTACAGAGCAGATCTTGACTGTTCAGATTCCATTGAGAACACACCTACAGTAAAGATCTTGGCTGGGAGAACAAGAAAATAGTGGATCCTAAAGGGACAAGAAGAACTTTTCCTGAAAATATACATGAAACAAAAACATGAGAAGTTGGGTCCTGATGTGTTGTGTCTTGCCATTCAGTCACAGTGGCCCACCCTCCCCTGACTCCCAGTAAGGGATATCTTCTTTTTTTGGTAGTACCGGGGATCAATCCAAGGGCCTCCCACATGTGACACTGGTTTCTCAGTGTCACATGTGGGTAACATAATTGAGTTTTTAGACTTACTGATAAATTTGGCAACTAAGATGACTTGCCTTTGTGGTAGGCCATCTTCATTTCAGAAGCAGAAAAGCTTAGAAACTTGAGAGTCCCAGAAACAAGACTCATAAAAACTACACAGCCCCCAGTTGCACATAGTCAGCAGTAAAGCCAAGAATGACGTTTAAGCAGAAAAGGGTGGTTCATAAGACCTGGGACCTTTCTATATTTAAACTATGCTTTCTATATGGTTGGGCAAAAAAATACGTTTTCACCTCTTAGATATTTTAAAATTTGGTTTTGAAACCTGAACTTTGTGCAGGGCTGGGGATGTAACTCTGTGGTAGAGCACTTGTCTAGTATGCATGAGGCTTTAGGTTTGATCCCCAGCGCTTCAAGAAAGAAAAGAGGCTATTTCTTCCTCTGGAGTTGGCTTACAATCTCCCTTGAATGTGCATCTACTTTCCTAAATAAACCTCTCTTTAAGAAAAAGAAAATAGGGCTGTGGATGTGGCTCAAGCGGTAGCGTGTTCGCCTGGCATGCACGGGGCACTGGGTTCGATCCTCAGCACCACATAAAAATAAAATAAAGATGTTGTGTCCACTGAAAACAAAAAAAAAATAAATATTAAAAAACTCACTTTCTCAAAAAAAAAAAAAAAAAAAAAGAAAAACATGAACTTTCTTCTTCAGAGTGCCAAGAAACAAAAATTCCTTTCATCCCAACAGAAATCACACACATGGAGAGCATGGTGCTTGTAGGGGCTGGGGCCGGGGGATGTCAGCCAGAGGACACGAGTTCCAGTTAGACAAGAGGAGTCAACTCAAAGGTCTACAGCAGCACACAGGACCACAGTTCACATAACGTATTATACGGTAGTCTCAAAAAGCCCTAGTAGCAAATGTTTACATGTTTTTGCCACAAAAAGCAGCTGGTATGTGGGTAACACACATGTTAAGGCGCCAGATTCACCCACTGCACGAGGCACACATTTCCAAACACCACGTGGACACCATAAACGCCCTGTGTACGAGTGTGGCCAGGACTCACCTTAAATACCTTCAGGTACTCAGGAAGCACAGAGGCGAACTTGTTGACAGTATAGACCTTGGCCTCTTTATTGTTTTCCAGACTTTTATGGATGCTCTTCCAGAGAATCACAATGATTTCTAGTAAACCTGCCATGGACGCAACATCATTCACCGACAGCATTTTGTCCAGAACCTAAGACACAAATACTGTTATTGTGACAGCATCTGACAGCAGGTGTTACAAGCCAAGAGCACTGTCCTCAAAAGCACATCTCAGATTTACAGGCCAGCTACTCTGAAATCTCAACAGAACCGGATTGTCTATTTTCGAATCTCTACTAGGGAGGTCAATTTCCTTCAAATGCCACCCAAAAAATAAGTTCTCAATAAACTGCATTTAACTTCCTTTAAAGAAACAGTTTACGAGACTGTGGTTGTGGCTCATGGCAGGGCGCTTGCCTCCCACACGTGAGGTACTGGGTTCGATCCTCAGCACCACATAAAAATAAATAAACAAAATAAAGATATTAAAAAAAAAGAAACAGTTTACATGAATTAAAACTCTTTTAAAACCAAAAGACGCTACTTGTCAACACAAACCCTGAAACGAATGAAGGAGCGACAGGCTGTAAGCCTGCCACTGGCCCTGCCTGGGCCCTACGGGATGCAGCACCACAGCCACCTTCCTCTGCGGTCGGCAGCCCACTGTCCTAAACTGGAGGGACACGTGCTCGCCACCTCCAGCCACCAAGTCAGGGCTCCCTGGTCTATTCTGACATGAAGCTTCCTGACCTCGAGCTGGTATGTGGGGACCACACCCCTGCATGCTCACAGTGACCCACACACGCACTCTGACGAATCCCCTCCGGCCTCGGTACAGGCACCCTGCCTGCCGGCCCTTGTTGCTGCACACCAGAGACCACACTGCACATGGCCGCCTGCAGACACACACTGGTGAGGTCCACCAGCCATCCCTGTAGGAGGCCTGTGCATAACAACGTCAAGACAGTCTGACAATCTGTTAAGTGACCAATGCAGCAATTTCCTTGAAGGAAACTGCCTTGAGATGACAAGGATGAGCCAGATCAGGTTTGGGTTTGTTTGGCTCGTTACTTGTTTGTTTTGTGCTGGGGACTGAACCCAGGGAGTGCTTTATTACTAAGCCACATCCCCAGCCCTTTTAATTTTTCATTTTGAGACAGGGTCTTGCTAAATTGTTGAGACTGTCTCAAACTTGCAATCCTCCCCTCACTCAGCCTTCCTGTCCTGAGATTACAGGCATGTGCCACCATGCCCAGTCTAGTATTTTTTTGCTAACTACACAAGAGTGGGACAAGGGAAAAATTAAATTTGATTAATAACAGAATATAGAAGAGGTAAATGTGGTTTCTACACAAAATTAGAATGCTTTGAAATGCATTCCAGCCAATCAATTTTAAAAGCAAAGAAACCACTAATGGCTTATAACCTATCAGAAGAATGATACAAGTAAGATTGACAAAATTTTCATTCTGCAAGGGGAGTGAGGGGAGAGGAAGGTCTGTGGGGATGGGAAGGATGGTGGAATGAGACAGACGTTATTACCCTATATACATGTATGATTGCACTCCTGGAGTGACTCTGCACCATGTACACCCAGAGGAAGGAGAAGTTGTGCTCCATTTGTGCACAATGTGTCAAATGCATTCTAATATAAAATAAATAAATTTTTAAAGAAATTTCTTTCCGCATTTAACTCTCCTTTTTCCTGTTCCAACTCTGTAGAAAGGGGAGAAATTCATTACACAGAGCACTCAGGTTCATGACAGGTAGGTACCACCAACGTAAGTTTAAAAACATAAATAGGAACATTTATTTTAAAACAAACCAAAGCAGCCCATGACCTAGCACAGCAGCCTTGCTGTTTATTTTCTGCTATCACCATCACCTCCGCTTTGAGAACATCACTTGAGAAACATGCTCAACAATAAAGTTTAGCAGAGGACATCTTTGGTTTTTAGGGGACAGCAATTAGAAAGCCTTAAAAGTTCACGTCATAAATGCCTGCTCTTGACCACAGATATTCTTGGAATAACAACTCCTAGCAGACAAACTACATGTTTTCCCCACAGGCACAATGGAATAGTTTCTAAACCCTTGTCTTTGCTGGCGATGTGGAACCTGACCTGTGGATACAACACACACATCCTCAATGATGACCAGCTACTGGACTGGGGTAAAGAACCCCTCAGTATGTACAGAGTGAGAATCTCGTGATCACCACACTAGGAGATGTGCATTCTCTTTTGCAAAAGTATCCCTATTCCTGGTGCGAGCAAGCAGGTGTCCCCTGGGGGCCATTCCTCCACACCTGGCTGCTCTTTCCCCTCGGTGCACACCGGGGTTTCTGCAGAGTGAGCAGCTTGAACCCCTGAGCTGGCATCTCCAGCTGACTCCAGAGCGCCACCTCCCTGGCAAAGCCCCAGCAAAGAGGGAGCCACAAAGGGATTTAGAACTCCTCCCCGAAGCATGAACATGATCCCCGAGGAAGTCACCAGGTGAGATTGACATCGGCACTGATCTGTGTGCCTTCTCCCTCCACCACACTTTTATTTTCCTGGACTTTTTTGCAGCAAAGAGAAAAGGAAATGTCTGGTGGCCTGTCAGGGCACAAGGGGTGGGTATGTTGGGACAGGCTGGTGGAAAAGCCTCCCCAGAGAGGAGGCAGAGCTGCACCTGCCTGCCTGGCCCTTCCAGGTGGGCTCAGATGGCAGCACCCGAGAGGGGCCCTGAGCCCAGCACCTGACCACACAGGGACACACAGGCACAGCACCTCAGCACCGGTACCTTGAAATTTCCCTCCAGGGTCAGCGTCCTCATCCAGCTGGGTACTATAGTGACCTCAAGTTTTACTTTAGATGTCCGCAGCTCAAGAACTTGCGTGTGAGCTGCATGTAAGTAAAAGTGTGCCCACATCTGGCTGCTGCTGCCTTCTGCTAAAACAGGGCACTCTGGACTTCTAATAGCAGCTAAAAATTCCCTTTGACAAATTATACTTCCTACATAAAGCTCATACCCAGAAATCTAGCCCCAGGACATTTCTGGCAGCATCATATGTGAATGGCTGTGTCTGACACTACTGCCCACGCAATGTGAACTTGGGGACACCAGAATCCAGCCCATCTGAGCTATCTCCAGGTGGGATCAAAACACAGAGTGAGGCAAAGGACACTGGCACAAGGTGCTGCAGCAGGGAAGTTTCTTCTGCTTTACACCCACCCTCACTCCACAACAAACTGCAAAGGATACCCAGAGGGTCTTTCAAACACAGCACTCGATCTTCCAAAGTAATTTCTTATCAGTACTAAAGAAGTAAATGGAAGATAAAGATACCCCTAACACAACAGCCCAGGGAGAAGACACCCGAGGCAGGAGGTTGGGGTGCCACTCACACTCACGTTCTCCTTCTCCCGCTCCTCAGGGTCCTCCTGCTGTTCCCGCAGTGCCCTCTGGACGCAGGCGTTTAAACAGTGGCGCATAACATGGATCAGCTTGGCTAAAACGTTGACAATAATCAACAATCAACATGTTTCTCCTACAAAATTAATCTTCTAATCAGAACTATGATCCCAAACAGTGAAACACTTTGAAAGAAGTCATCACAACACACTCCAGCGTGAAGCTCCAGAGGGGCCAGCCCTCACTTGGTGGGCAGGAGCATGGGGAGGGTAGGAGTCCAACCTATGTTGGTGCAGGCGGTGTGCTCGTGGGCGTGCTGGTAGAACCTCCTAGCAGCCGCGTGGTTCATCTGCACCAGCGTGACGCAGCGCTCACACCAGACCTCCTCTGGCTGGTTCACGGGCAGGAAGGAGTTGAAGACGAGGCTCACCAGGCGCCGGGACACAGGCCGCGAGTCCATTTGCAGACGAACCAGAATGTGCTCCATGGGGCATATTTTCCAGAACTATGAATAGCACAGGGGCAGAAGGAAGCATCAATCACCCCAGTGACCTTGGAAACTGCTTCAGGGAGATTTCCAGAACAAAACCAAAGGGACTAATTCTGCATTCAAGAACATTCATTTCAAATGACTGTACTAGAATCTGTGATTCCTGTGAAGAACAGATCAATCTACCTCTTAAGAAGACCAGTGTATAAGATGCCCAAGTCCAAGGCTGTGGAGAAGGTTAGTAGTCATCATTACTCACCACCACGGTTTTTCTACAGTAAACTCTCAAATTACAGACATAGTTTCCAATCAAGCCATTTTTAAATTTCCTAAAACCTAACCCTTTGGCCCATTAAATGTGAGTAGTAAATTTTAAAAACACATTTAACAATTTCGAGACGGATGCAATACTTCTGTCTTAGCAGCCTGGGCATGGCTCCTGAACACCCCAGGGCTGCCTGGTTGGTCCTTCAGCAAGGCTCCTCCAATGCCAGCCCCCTTCCTCACGTCCTCCACAGCTTAGTATCTTCCCACCACGCCCTCCTCTAGCCACCTCAAAAGCCAGGCAAGTACAATACTCAGAACTGACCATATAGTCCTCACACTGAAAAGCACTCAAGTCGCCTTCGGAAAACACCAAGCTTCTGAGCAAGAGATCCAAGACAAGAGAGGACTGTCACAGAACGGGAGGGAAACGCATCTGAAGGCAGGATGTGCAAGCCTGTCCCAGCGCACTTCCTCACCTGCACACAGGGACCTGGACCAGGCTTTTCCTCAGGAGCCTCGGTCTCAGGACCATCTCCTTGGTATTTTCCACAGATCCTTCTCGTCACCATTTGAGTATGTCACATTGTTGTGACATAACAGATGCACACACAAGCTGACCTGAGTTCTGTCTCCGGGGGGCCGACTGACGGGGGACTGGCAGGTGCTGTAGCTCCAGCCCCCTCCAGCTGCCTGGCACCCTCCTGCACTGGAACTGTCATCGATGCCACTACTAATTCCATGGCCATTGGACACCCACCTGGTTCTGGGGAGACAGGACATGGCTCCGTGCTGCAGGCACCACTAGGAGGAGCACTGAGTCCCCTGTGGACCAGAACCTTCAGCTAACTGAGGCCACAAGCCTGCCTGAAGCACTGGGGGGTCTCAGGGGAGTCAGGCCAGTACACGCAGGGTGCGAGAGAACAGGGACAAGTGCCAGGCCTTGTTCCGACTACCTGGGCAACATCTCTGAAATCTGCTTCACACATGGGCCCCTTTCTTCATGTACCAGCATGAACTGTCCACATGGGCAACTCTGGACAGCACCAGCAGGCCTGCATGTGTGGCTGCTACAGCAGCAGATGTGTCCCAGCAGCCACTGGCCTCGGGTTTTCTGATTTAGACAAATTACTCCACTTTAATAAGATGAAAGACTTTCATGTTTTTTTTATGATACTATAATACTATAATTGAAACCCAACTGAAACTTCTTATACTCTTTGTATATAAATTACACATGATAGAATCTTAACTCTTAGTAACCTTGTTTTAGCAAAGACACAGACCAAAGCAATATTAAACCTTTTTTCCATTCACCAATTTATGAAAACACACATGCTTAAATATATTACCTTATGTAACTTAATAAGTAAAGAGTGGTTGATGTTTCAACATTTTAGCTTTGTAAATTAATCAGAACTTTGTAGAAACCAAGATCTTAGACAAGTGTAGCAAACAGAACTAGCCATCTCTTTCTTGTTGAAGAAAAATCCTTCTACAGGATACCATGGTGGTCCCATTGATATACTTAATAACTCGTCTTTAAAAAGCCATGTGCTACATTTTTGTATTGTATCAACATATGTCCTAACTGTTCTTGGTCTTACTGGGGTGCCTCTTTCCTCTAACAATTTCTCTTCCTCGGGGGTGAACAACTTCAAACTTTGAGCCAACCATTTTCCCCAGTTTGCCTGAGAAAGTTCTAGGAACAGGCAACTTGAAATAAAAACAAAATAAATCAAAACAATAACACATTGTTTTTTGAAATGTTCACCCATTCTTTCTCTCTTCCTCAAGGGTGAGAAATTTCACTTACCTCTAAGCTTCAGAAGTTCCCCGCACGGGCCGCCAAATGCCGCAGTCTGGCTGGGCACACAATCACGAGCCACCACACAGCTTGTAGATTCAAACAGCAACTCTTTATTCCCGAACTCACACCAGCCGTCTACAATCACGTTCTGGGGAAATCCACGTTCTCTTCCCAAATCCACGTTCTCTGCCCAAATCCACCTCCACTGGGCTTCTATCTCCAAAATATACTGTCTGAATCCCGTGAGAACTCAAGGGGAACTCAGGCAGCAGGATACGCCCTATTCCCAGCAGGAATAATCTTAAACCTTAAACCTGGAACCTAAACTGGGAACGCCCTAAACACGATTATCTTAAAACCGGGAACACCCTAATCTGCCTTGGTCCTTGAGCAAGGTCACGTACATTCAATGTCACTGCAACATGGGGTACGCTGGCAAGGAAATTGTCATACCTACTTGGCTAATGGCTCCCAGCATCTTCACAGAACTCACTTTACAGAGTGGTCAAGCACAAGCCCCAGGGGCTGTTCTGTCACACTGTCACCACTACCCCATGCGCAGAACAGAGGTTTGCGACAGGCTCCGACCAGCATTTGCAAGCACAGGGGCCTCTCCTGACCTCCAGCTCAGCCTGGGGGCAGCCCACCACAGCTAACACAGGATGGAAAGCCACACGCAGAATACGCTCAGAGGGTTAGCCTGTCCGTTACTGAAGTACACGACTTTTCTCCCCAGAAGGGCCCTCCACCTGCCCACACTCCCAGGAGCACTGGCATGAGTGCCAAAGCACAGCCTCACAGAGCTCAGCACTGAAGCCCGCACAACGCTTCCTTCCCCTACAGGCAGGACCCTTGCGTCTCACACCTTCCAGGGGTATCTCATAGGCGGCTGCGTGCACCAGTCCCCATGTTATACAGCTGGTCACACATTAGATACTTCAATGCTGTTCCTTTTTACTTATATACCTTAAGTTATTTCCACACAAGTCCCACAAATGTCCCTCCTTGTCCTTTTATGCCAAACAGCATCATTCCCCACGTGAACACACAAGTGTGAATCACTGAGCCAAGACCAACAGACCTGTCAGGTGTTTCTCAATGCCGTGTCATAACAGCATCATTTAAGCAACTGTGACCTGCTAGGAAGAGGGACAGAGTTCATGATGTCACCAAGTAACAGCTGAGTCCAAAGCAAGCAACGTCCTCAGCAAGGACTGAGGGCCCAGAACTAGCAGAGGACGATGGTGCCAGCAGCATGGTTACAAGCACGGACGCCCTGGCCTCCCGTGGCGGAGGGAGAGGGTTCACGGTCAGTCTCCCCAAGGAAGGCGTCAAGTACCTAAATATTACTCCAGATACTGCAACAAACACACCCAATGCACGATGAACAGTCGCATAAGAGGTGTTTATATCAATGTTTTCAAAGAAGAAACATACTGGCATTTCCAGAATCTTCAATGAAAATCACAAAAAGTCTTGGAACAGCTATTGGTCAAAAGCAGCAGTCACCAACTTTGTCAATACCAAAGCACCTGAAATTAAAATTGCTTTGTCTTTTTCCAGGCCCAGTGGCACACACCTCTAATCCCAACAGTTCTGGAGGCCGAGGTAAGGGGATCACAAGGTTAAAGCCAGGCTCAGCAACTTAGTGAGGCCCTAAGCATTATAGCAAGACCCTGTTTCAAAATAAAAAATATTTATAAAAAGGGGTGGGGCTACAGCTCAGTGGTTAAGCATCCCTTGGGTTCAATTCCCAGTACAAAACAAAAAAGCTCTTTCTTTCTTTTGGGTGGAAACAAATGCCCCTCTTTCTTCCCTGTGGTAACAGAAACTCAAGCTACCCCACCTTGGCAGCTCGCACAGCTTTGATCTTCAGCAGCAGCTCCACGAATGCCACTCTCACTTTCTCCGAATTGTCATGAAGACTGTATCTGAGTGCCGGCAAAAGCTGTTCTAATAATGGGTGGCTCAGTTTGTTATCCAGAATTATCGGCAGACACTACACAAAGGGGAAAGAGAGAGCTCAAAGTCAGAATATGCCAAGAAAAGTTTGTTTAGGAGGATGCTCAGTTCCACCCTTACCCAATGCACCAGGAAAATAAACACTTAGGGCAAATCACATTTTCCTGGAAGTGCCATCCCACAAGCACTCAACGAGCTAGCATCGCTTTGACAACTGGGGGCCAGCCATCACTGCTCCATTCCACAAGACTGATCTGGTGACAGAAGAGACCAGAGTACCCTCTGCCCAACCCTGTAGGACCTTAATTGGAAGATTCAGAGCAGATTGGCAAACATGGCTGTGTCTAAAGCCGGGTCTTTAACAGTCAATAAACTTCGTATCCTGACTCAATGTCCACCTGGGTAACTAGTATGCCCATATGGCTAACCTGGATATTCAGACCCCAGGAGAAGAGGTGAGGACTCAGTATAGGTCAGAGGAGGAGTATAATCCCTCTCTAAGGACTTTTAAATACTTATCTGTGAAGATGGCAGACTCACAAAGTGGGCAGAGGAGTAGCTTCATATGGCTCAGGGGCTAGATCAGCAGAGTACAGAAACACCAAGGCCAGGCCCAGTGAAGGGGCTCCTGGTGCCTCCAGGGTGGAGGGCGCATGGCCAGGTCACACAGCCATCAGCACAGGCCACGAGCTCTAAGCCGAGGTCCTGCTGTCCTCTCCCTTGCACCTGCAGACCCTGTTCTCAGCCACGACACAGGCATCTTCCCAAGACACTCCACAAAGACAAAAAAGAATGAATTCAAGAGTACTGAGGAGTGCGCCCCATACAGTGAACACTAGGATCTTATCGGGCAGTCATTTTCTGTAGAAAACACTTTGGTTTCTTTATAATTGTACTTTGCACATACAAAGTATCAACAGCTCTCTCTATGGAGCCCAATAATGGGTATATTTTGTCTTTTTCCTTCTCTGTATTTTGCTACTATTCTACAATATCTAAACATCACCATATAATTTTAAAAATCTTACCTTAAAGACAGAACAACGAACATCAGCTGAGCTGGTATCAAATGCCAATTCCCCAGTTATTTTCTTCAGGAGATCAATAAGGATGGTTGGGGGCATCATTTCCCAGTACTGGGAAGTTATTTTACAAACACCAAGGATCCCTGTGGAACGGACCATCGGATAAGGATCTTCTAAAAGGCTCTGTAAGTAGGAAGGGAAAAAGGCTTAAAAATCTTAAATCAGTTCCCTTTGTGTTGACATTTGCTTTATACACTAGCATTTGGGGAATCTATAACTTAATAAGTTATAGAAACATTGGTCACACTGTCTCCAAGGGAATTAGTTCCAGGACCACCCTCTAAGGATGCTGAAGTACAGATGCTCAACTCCCTTAAATAAGAGGCAAAACAAAAACGGATACACCTTGCCATGCACCTTACTGCTGGATTACTTGTGATGCTAAAACAACGTGTGTTGTTTAGGACACAGTGACTACAACGCCTTACAGATAAAACACATTTTCTCCCAATATCTTCAACCCACACTTGGCTGATGAGATGCAGAGGTCCCACCCCAGGGGTGCTTCTGACGTGGAGCACTCAAGAACAGCTCGGAAGCATGTGCAGCTCATTTGCTCCCTGCACATAGGGCCTTGTTCACAGTGGGTCTTGAGCACCAGCTCCACCACTCAGAGCTCCGCACACCATCAGATGTGGCCAGAGTTCATACAGAAACTACCCATGTAGTCCACTCTCTTGAATTCCAAAATGCTATAATGCAGAGCCCAGAAAAAAACAATGCTTCAATCCAAGGCAGGACGGTCAGTGGCTGCTCATGGCTTAAATAATCGTAGTCATGTGCCCCATGGAAGTACAGGAAATCACCAGGGCACAGCCTCACACAGCAACCCAAGCCTACAAGCACAAACCTTACCAACTCACTTCATTAACTACCAATTCACAGGGAACAAAAGGGCAGGAACTCATTCCATGAAATCTAGACTTGGGAAACAGAAGCATCTTCTCCAACAATAACATTAAAAACTAGGGATGCAATCACCATAGGCCCCAGCTATCCCATTCCTGGGTATTTTCCCTAAAGATTTAAAATCAGCATGTTACAGCCATATAGTTACCTCAATGTTTACAGCAGCACATTCACAGCAGCTAAATTATGGAATCGGCCTGGGGTACTGTCAGTAGATGGCATATATATATATATATATATATGTATGGTATGTGTGTGTGTGTGTGTGTGTGTATATATATATATATACACACACACACACACACACATACAGTAGAGTTCTACTCAGTCATAAAAACCAAAGAAATTATGGTATTTGCCAGGAAATAGATGGTACTGGAGAATATCACACTAACTGAAATAAGTCAGACTCAGACACACAAAGGTCAAATATTTTCTCTTGTATGTGGAAACTCGTATAAAATGAAGGAAAGGGAAGGACAAAAGGAAATCAGTGGGTAGAAGAAGGCAATCCAGAAAGACTAGAGGGATGGGTAAAGGAGGCAATGCAGAATGAGTTCTTAAAAAAATCAGGTCATGTGCATACATAAATACACCACAGGAAACCCCACCTTTATGCATACGTAGAAAGCACCAATCAAATATAAATTAACAGATAAACAAAAGGAAGCCTAGCAGAATAGAAGAAGGAGGAGGGAGTGGGAAAAGAAAAGGAGGATCATGAACAGAAATCGAATTCCATGCATGTGTAACTTGCTCACGTTGACCCCAACTACTATGTAATACTATAAAGTTCTTAAAAAAACAGTCACACAGGTGCGGTGGCACTCACCTGTAATCTCAACAACTCTGGAGCTGAAAGAACTCCAGTCCCAGAGCAGCCTGGGCGACTAAGGGAGACCTCATCTTCAAAATGAAAACTAAAATGGGCTAGGGCCGGGGCCGGGGGTGTGGCTCAGTGGTAGAGCACTTGCCTAGAATGTGTGAGACACTGGGTTCAATCCCCAGCAACAAATAAAAAAACAAACAAAGGTATTTAAAAAACAAATGGACTGGGGATGGGTTCAGTGTGAGCTCCACTGGGTTCAGTCTCCAATGCTGCAAATAATAATGCTGATCCTAGTAAGGAGCAAGTCCAAAGAGACTGCTGGAAAGTGACCCTCAGCCTAAAAACGCATCAACTCAAGCAATACAGAGTTAAACATCACCAGCAAAGTGTGGGCAGCAACTGGGTCTCGCTAACTTCAAGGAACCGCTGCTCACTGCTCCTTAACAGTGATGAAGCACGACTGTGTCCTGCCTCTCAGTGCCACCTGCTGAGGTCTCACAGGAAGCATGTTCGAGGAGGGCAGGTCATGTGCACTATAGCTGAAGATGACCAGCAAGCCACACACTGCTCTGTGCATTTGTCACGAGGCACCCTGACATCACCCAGAGTGCGTGCCTGCTGTTCACGAAGCCCACCCATGCCAGCAGCAGTCATATCTTCTTGACCATGTCTGCCACAGTCTGGCTGGGCACAAAATAACCGAGCTGCCATGAGGCACTTGTAGGTTCAAACAGGAACTCCTTTACTGCCAGAGCTCCCGCGAACACCACACACGTGACCCTTCGAGAAACACCCCCAACCAGAAGTCCCGCCTCCGGAACTTCACAAACCAACGCGAACTCCCCAGGAATCCCTGGGAGAACTGCAAAGTAGGGGGTGCCCAAGGTGGGCAGCAGGGGTCTATATACAAAATGAATACGCAGCTTAACTTAACCATTATCATCTCAATGGCTCCCTGGTTTCACCTCTCAACCACTCCCTTCTGGCAAAAATGCCATGTGTCATTCCAACTCGGCTGTGGCCCTCAACATCTCCCCTTTCTGTTTAATTAAACACCAAGCAGGTGGCTTAGGGACCGTGCCTGTCTTAGGTTGTCCAATACTACACATGGTCCTTACCCGTCATCAGATGAGCTGACCTCAAGGCATCAGCCTCCTGTCTTAGGTTGATACCATTGCAATTAGATCTTACCCGTTATTGACTACCGGTCCAGCATACAGCCATACTTGTGGATAGGCCTTGGCACCAGTGGGGGGTGAGGTTCTTTGCCTCACCTCTGTTGGCCCCCAATTTGACCTTGGTGCCAATGTGGGGGGGTGAGGTTCTTTGCCTCACCTCTGTTGGCCCCCAAATTTGGCCTTGGTACCAGTGGGGGGTGAGGTTCTTTGCCTCACCTCTGTTGGCCCCCAAATTTGGCCTTGGTGCCAGTGTGGGGGGGGTGAGATTCTTTGCCTCACCTCTGTTGGCCCCCAAATTTTAGACCATCACAAGCAGAAGGGAGGAGGAAGCAAAATGCTACGACACCAAGCCAAATGACGGTTCCTTTTGGAAAAATTGCATCACCGATGACACCATCAGCAAAGATACCCCAGCAATAACACAATTCGCTGCACCAACAGATAGTTCACAATGCATACAAGTGATACATAGTCCAGGCAAGTTCTGCAAGCAGCTCAAAGCAGAGGAATCTATTAATATGTTCCTTTCCTCCTAAAGTAAATCGACTCCTTGACTGAGCATCACTTGTTGAGTTACAATATTCATTGATGCATCAGTTTATAAAGTTTGTTGTGATAGCTATCGCAGAAGCTGTAGTTTGGTTTTATCTTTGTCTTCACTGGCACTGGGAGGAAGATAGGAATTCTGGCATTGATGGCTAAAAAAAATTATGTAACATTCCAGCAGGCACTAAAAGAAAGCAATTTTCTAAACAATTTAGTATCCTGAATAGAATTAGATATAATGAAAAGGAAAGGTGAAAGTAAACAAACAGATCTTTTTTGTTCACATTTAAAAACAATCCTCAACAGCTGTTTACCCAATTTAAGTTAAACCATTTAAATCATGTGAATAAAAAAAAAATTTCGATCCATTTTTTCATGAGCGCTCCTCATGTATGATCTATGGACATACGCACATAGAGACATACAACACAAAACACAAGTGTGCACACATAATACAATACATACAACACATAATAGTAAAGGCCTTGTAGCTTTTCACAGGTGAAATCTCCATTGCAATGTTTAAAAACTCCACAGTCAAAAAATAGAACTGATCAGAAAAACATTAACCTAGGTCTGTATGAGCTCAAAAAACAAAATAGAACTTCATGATATGGCAAAGGGCAATAATAAAATAGATATTGAAAAAAGCATCCTGGTTACCACCTGGGTTTGACTCTTCTTTAGATATCCCATTCTTCTTCCTGTAACTTGCATATGGGTCTGAAGGTATTCCCACAAGCAAGCCCCAAGGTTTTTTACATTTGAAATAGGCTTTAATGGTGTTCATTTTTTGGACACATATGCCTTTCCGCAGCACTAAGCCCTGATGAATCCAAATTTAAAAAGTTTAGAGGAAAAAGGGTTATTTTAAGTTTATCTTTGGGGGATATATACCTCTTCCCAATTCCCTCTTTTTGCTTTAATAAGTACATTTTAATAGTTTGATGAGCTCTTTCTACTATGCCTTGTCCCTGTGGATTGTATGGGATTCCTGTTATATAAGTAATGCCAAATGATGAGCAAAATTGTTTAAAAGAGGTAGAAGTATAGCCAGGGCCATTATCTGTTTTTAACTGTTTTGGAACGCCCATAGTGGCAAAATTTTGTAAGCAATGAGCTATAATATCTTTAGTTTTTTCTCCGGCATGAAGGGAGCCCATCAAAAATCCGGAAGAACTATCAACTGTAACATACAAATATTTTCATTTCCCAAATTCTGGAATGTGTGTGACGTCCCTCTGCCAAATATGGTTAGGTATCAGTCCTCTAGGATTGACTCCAAGATTAACTTGTGGTAAAAAGGTCACACAATTTTGACATTGTTTTATTATTTGTCTAGCTTGTTCCTTAGTTATTTTAAAACGCTTTTGTAAAGTATTAGCATTGACATGGAACCTTTTATGAAAATTTGTGGCTTCTTCCAGTGTAGAGAAAATATGTATGTCATGTGCAGTTTTATCTGCTAAATCGTTACCCAAACTAAGGGCTCCAGGCAATCCTGTATGTGCCCTGATATGTCCTATGAAGAATGGATCTTTTCTGTCCCAGATTAGACTTTGTATAGTGGAAAGCAAAGAGAAAACAGTAGAGGAAGGGGAAATCCTACCAGCATCTTCAAGGGATACTATAGCATTAACTATATACTGACTATCGGAAAA